AAATGTACTAACCATACTTACAGAGTTCATAAGAACTGAAGAAAATAACAACATAACTTAAAGTGAAATGTAAATACTGATGTCTGACTAAATGTACTTACCCATAAGATCAACTATTATAGAGTTGCCTAGCAACAACGAGAAACCAAGAAGCACCCATGGTAAATATGGTGCTTGAAAGTTCATGAGCCCGAAAAAGTTCATTCTTATGTAGGGGTTTCTTCGGCTCCACACATACACCAGCATTATCGTGAAAGCACTTCCCAGGAACACTAGATTTACAAACAATGCAATGATCTGAAACAGGGTCAAGGAGATATATCTTTGCAAAGTTTCAGCTTACTTTTGTCCTTGTACTTTCAGAGTTGTTGAAAATGCAGGAAAAAATATAAAAACAGGAATATGTGAAGGTCATTTTTTTCTGCTTGTTCAAAATACAAAAAAAAATAAAATGGAGTATATGTTATTGTGTATATAAAATTTCATAATGGTACATGCAGAAATGGCTAAGTAATGAGCAAAAGTGACAATTTCAAAATGGCTGTTGCGGCGGCCATGATTAAAATTGTGAGCATGTTTTAGCAAGCATGTTTTACAGAGACCATAGCTGGGGATGGACAACAGACAAGATGCCATGACATAAGCTCACATGACTTTCAGTCAGATGAGCTAAAATTAACATAAATCATACAAATGTCCCATTGCCATTGTCTCTAGCAAAATTACTGACTGCCCTGGGAGGCATGTAAAATAGGAATTGTAAAACACCAAGAAAAAGTTAAAACCTAACTTATATCTATGTAAATGTCCATGTCTCTACTCCTCAACAAAAACTTGAAAGGATACAGTCATTAAAAGACCTCCAAAGAGAAACATGAAGAAGAAGTCGGCTGTGCGGCCTCTGAAGGAACCCTCTTCCAACATCCGACAATAACGATATGCAAATATCATGTTGAACAGGAAGTTGAACCCAATGGGGCCGAAGTAGAGAAAGTTGGTGATCAGGCGCCATAACTGCAAGAGACAAAGATACCATGGTTACATAAACATGATAAACAGAAATAGTCATAAACATGCTGACATCGTAGATTAATGAACAAATCATAAACAACAGTCTGTGACTTAAACCACTAGACCAAAGCCCGAGTCTAGTAAAATTCCATCAGTCTCACAAACTTAGTTCATAATAGTCCATATAATCATTACACTAAACGCTACTGCAAATTATGCTTGGAGCCTTATTCAGGCTAGATGACACAATAGTCTTTGGAAAAGACTGTTAACATACGTTTAATAGTGAGTGAGTGAGTTGGGTTTAACGCCGCTTTTAACAGTATTCCAGTTATATCGCGGCGTGTCAGCTTAATGTGGGAGGAAAGCCCGAATTGATGCAGGTCTCAGACATTTACCACTTCAGTGAAACCCACGAGCATGGGTATGGTGCTAACAAACCTAGAAACATAACTGGGGCGAACCGGGATTCGAACCCACAATCATAGGTTTCTGGCGTACCCAAGGGACGAAACTCTGCACAGCGAATCGCAGCGCCTTAGACGACTGGGCCACCCGTGCCCCCCATACATAATAATAAAATACACTGAATATGATAGGTACAATGAGTGGGAGTGATCAGTGTTTGAAATAATTTTGAAACCCAACAAGACAGTCGGGTAGGTGACACATAAGTGTTACCTGCCCACATTCAGACATTATAAATATTGAAAAATTGGAACAAAAAACCCAAGACACATCGTGTCTTGATTCAGTTGAAATAATGCAAATAATTACCATGATTACTTGAGAATCTACAAGGAGTAATAATAAAACTGAACACGGAAGTAGTCTTAAAACTATCTGACAGACAGTCGAGCAGGCAGAGAAAAATTTCATCCAGTCTGACAGAAAAGTTACCAGCCACGGGCACGCGGTTATTACGGAGACTGTGTGAGTGAGGTTGGTGTAGTGCTGGTTTAACTATTTCAGTAACATCATGGCAGGGGACACCTGGATTGGCTTTACACATTTTACACAATGGAACCCAGGTGTCCAATGTGACGAGCAAACCCATTAACCAGGCGACCTGCCCCCCACTCAGAAGGGGTGTGCCTCCAACACCTACTTGCCATACAAAGACTGTCTATACCTAGGCCAAATGTATTACCATTACCGTATTCGCCGTAATAAGCGCCCCACTCTAATAAGCGCCCACTGCGGTATTTGCTAATATATTGGCTAGTGAACAATCCTAATTAGCACCCCTTCCGATTGATCAATGTTCACAAGACTTATTTATTCGCGTACAACACACACTCGTGTGTTATATGTACCCTTAATTATGGGCAATTAAATTCTAGAAAAAGATATCTGTCGTACATAAACATTTCAGGCTGTCAGCATAAACCACAAAATTTATCTTTCAACTGTTTTTTCACGAAAATTATATTCTAATAAGAGCCCCCTATTTTTAATTGCGAGAGCACCCTGGGCACTTATAACATAAAATACGGTATACTAAAAATCAAACTAGGGTAGCCGCACATTTCTTATTTGTAAATCAACTGTGCAACATGGGATTTTATCCCATGTTTGCTTTCAGAATGGCTTATGAATACCACTGAAAAATGTTAGTTTTGATCGAGTTATCAGAACCACATCGACATTATTGTTAGGCCTTTATATAGCATGCTAAAGTACTTTAATATCCAAGATATTTTTTTCTGGCCAAATTACCACAGTTCAACCTACCTCATCATTGCTTGTTCCCTTTCATTTCAAACAAATCAGTGAACAGTAATTTCATGACCTACCTGATAACTCCTGAATATAAGGTCTGGATTGAAGTATATTTGGAATGGAGTGATGATATCAAGTTGCTGAAAAGAAAAGAGAGAAACATGTGAAATAAACTGTATTCATAGACAATAATGGACATGACCAAAGCAAAATCTACAAATATAAATTGTTTCCAAATATTTACGAATGTTAATTTAATAATCCTTATCTTTAAAGATGTAGCGCTGATCCAAATGTCAATTTCTTTTTCCCATATTCACCATTCCTGTTGCAGTTACCATGGTTACCACTGAATGCATGCTCATAACTTCTAGGGGCCATTGCTACCATGTAATACCAATGCTGATCATGCTGATATCTTACACAGGAATACTAAAATTCAAGGCCTTTTCAAGACTGACAACTGTCATTTTCAAGGCCTTTTTAGTTGGGTTATTAGCCTTGGTCTGTCAATATTTTATCAAATCAAGCATTCTATATATTAGTCATAAGGCCTAAAAAGCTGTATGACCATCACACATTTCCAACAAAATTTATTTTCACAGAACAAAAAAAAAAATTAAGTCTGTCATGAATTCTTTGGGGTCTTTGGCACACAAATCTATCACTGTGATAAATCTCACTTAAACATCCTTGGTACATATTTTTGTGTGCTTTAATATTTTGATTAATATGTACATGTCATTTTGCACATTCAAGGCTTTTCAAGCTATTTTGGGGATTTTCAAGACTCTTCAAGGTTGATATTAAAAACCAGGGCTTATCAACTACTCAAGTGGGACCTTAAAATTTAAGGCTTTTTCAAGTCTGTACGGACGCTGTTTTCAGTAACTCGGACTATTATTTTGATAATGATAACAATTATCCCAGTAGTAGTCAACTCTGACTCAATCAACGATAGATTAGGACAAGACCATGTATTGTAAACACTGAAAGTAGTACATATCTGAACTTTTACATTTGCAAATTTATCCTAAAATCATGTATCGTCAGATAATAGGTTTTAGGACATCATTTGCTTTTGGAAGGCCATGCTTATCATGATTACATATGCTATAACAAGGGGTGTGGCATCACACAGACATTGTAAATACTCAGATCATGGCCTGTTTTTAAGATAAAGACATCTTTTATTAGTGAGAGATGTTCTACAGTTCGTTCTTGTGATTAGCCACAAAATTACGAATGTTTTTAAAAAGTCCGAAAACACATAACACGGGGATAAAAGACCCTAACGGATACGGTTTTTTATACATTGGTTTCATCCCGCTAATAACAATATCTGAATGTTTAAAATTTCCCAAACCGAGTTTACTGACTAATTATCCTCGTGATACTGAATTCTACTCCCTGGTCAGCTGTGACTGACTGGCTGATGGCCAATGATATGAAATTGAACTTATTTCGCCACGAGTCATTCCTTGTGAGGACAAGTGTCATATTCATATAGTACTGTGTCCATACTTTCGCGATAGGTATTAAATGTATTGATTTTTCATTCTCAGACATAACCAGAGAGTAGAAAGTTTGGCATCAACATAACTTTACCGAAGCGTCAGTGAAATCTTTGACACCGGTCGGTGTACTTTCAATTGACTCACTCAGATCGACATGTTATCAGCATAAAGGTGTCGAAATCGCAGATCCTACTTGTTTCAACGTCATAGTACTCACCACGGCAATAGTTGTTAGCACACATGCAGTTGTATATGCCCTTGTTATTGGGGGCATCTGCATATACTCCTGCTGAAACGTTTGGGCCGCCATACTTGTTGATCTCAGCCACGTGTAATACGCATGCGTGTGTTACCGGAAACCTTCTTCATTTAATTCACATCGATAAATTTGTTTCAAAACATAGTGTATTATTTACGCATAATTTGTCATCGACAGTTCATTTATTTATTTATTATATAAAATCCATATGTCGTAAGTTATATCATTTTGAAAAGATTTTCAATATATTCAACAAAAGATTATTCAAAATGATCGATTAGAATTAAGATTTGAACGAATCAACAACTTCCGCAGGTGCGCGCTCGCAGCCGGAAATATATTGAGACAAACAAAACAGGGAGAGCACGACCGAGGCGTGTATGTGGGATATTTTGAAATCAAATGTCCAGCTATACTTCATCGCCGAGACCAGATAACGACGACGACCTCGACAACGACGACATCTACAGCACAGACGAGGACGGCAACGATTCTGATGAAGGTTACGAAAATGGAACTTTGAAATTTTGATTGTCAATAAAAGTAATCTTTAGATAAAAAAAAATGCCATTTTTGGCTTATATTGGACAACGTGCAGACAGGGGTAGATAGCACTTTACAAGTGTCTTTTGTCTCGCTCAAATCTAATATCTGAGCCTATGAACATTTCGTTTCTAGATTCCCTCTCTCGTGACTTAGCCCTTGGAAAACCTTTTGTAGCACGTTAGCGTTTATGACGAACACGCTTATAACGAACTGACCGATATAACGACTTATGTTTTAGTCCCACACATTTGCTGTATATATGCTTATAACGAACTATGGTTATTGCAAACTAAAATTAGTGGTCCCTTTGAGTTCATTATAACCGTTGTTATCTGTATCAGTTTTTATAACCCATGCATCCTATAAACCCAATGACTGTGATTGGATTCATGGCCCCAATTCTGTTTATGAGAATGCCATCCTGATTAAGAGAAGACACACCCCCACAGGCCAAATAGATCACCTACAGAATTCTTACTCTAATTTCTGAATGCAGACACTGAAGATGCCAGCGAAACAGAGGACAAGCAGCAGAACAATCTTCCCCGCACTGAGATAAGGGAGCAGTAAGTCCCCCATTTATTCTTCAAGTTACTCTTGGGGGCACGGGTGGCCCAGTCGTCTAAGGTGATGTTATTCGTTGTGCAGAGTTGCGTCCCTTGGGCACGCCAGAAACCTATGATTGTGGGTTCGAATCCCGGTTCACCCCGATTATGTTTCTAGGTTTGTCAGCACCATACCCATCATGCCCATGCTCGTGGGTTTCACCAAAGTGGTAAACGTCTGAGACCTGCATCACTTCGGGCTTTCCTCCCACATTAAGCTGACACGCCACAATATAGCTGGAATATTGTTAAAAGCCCAACTCACTCACTCACTCAAGTGACTCTTAATGGATTCGCTGTGCTGTTGAAAGTGAGCTATAAAATAATATAAAAAAATTCCTTGCAATTGAGGCAGTTTGGCCATAATGAAATAACATTGTCACATGCACAAATGACCATGATCATGTTACTTATCATGATGATTATCACCATATAGTTTTAACTATTGCAACAACAATGTGATGGTCAAAATCCCCCCAGTAGCCGAACATGTAGTGGTAAATAATATTGTTTTGCTTTCCAGGATGTACCAGGATAAATTGGCTCATCTGAAAAAGCAACTGCAGCATCTGAAGGAAGGCACCCTTCCCGAATACATCAAGCGGAACAGGAGGATCGAACAGCAGTATCGTGAAAGACTGCGTCTGAACGAGATCTGGAGAGATATTGAGGTAGAGTAGAATATTCTACCCATCAATTGTCTTAGCATACTGTTTACCAGTATTTGTTTCAAATGTTTCCTATTGACCACTCAAAGATTAGTTCGTGGGTACAGGGGGCCCAGGTACTTGGTTCTACACCTCGCTGTGCAAGAGTTATGTCCCTTAGCTGGCAGGATCCTCTTGTCATGGGTTTGAATCTGAGGTACCCAGACTTTGATCCTTGACTTCTGGATTAGTACTATGTCAGGTTATTTGGTTCATTCTCTCTTTTTTTACTTTGATCTAAAACCAACAACTGTTGAAGGTCTGTTATAATTGATTCGAAATGGAAATGGTATGCAATTTTTGTTAAGTCAAACTCTATGTTTGATATTGATATCAGATTTACCATTGTTGCAAGCAGAAATGTCTAATTATTTATAAAATTGTTGGGGTCTTTAATTATGAATTTTTAGGTTTTCTTTCATTCCCTCATTGTTACCACGTTACAAAAGACACTGCCTCACATAATGTCATTGTCACCAAGTACCAATAAAGATAACCGCTGTGTTCCCATCTTACAATTCTACCAAAAATTCATATCACAACAGTTGACAGTAAATGTTCACAGATTCCTTGAAGCTGAACTGTGTGTTTAGAAATATCAAGGTAAAAAAATTAAATTCACTTTCAAAATAAATTTGATGAGAATATTAGTAGACTGACATGTTTATGTTTTAATTGTCGACTCTAGTGCTTAAATTGTGTTGATGGGCGGTCGGGTAGCCAAGTGGCATTCGCTCGTCACGCCGAAGACCCAGGTTCGATTCCCGACAATGGTACAATGTGTGACGCCCATTTGTGGTGCCCCCCGCCGTGATGTTGCTGGAATATTGCTGAAAGAGGCATAAAATGAAACTCACTCACTCAATTGTGTCGATGTATCCTTGTGTTCACTAGAACAGTAGCTGTTTCATGATTTGTTGTTTATTGTGTTTCAGCTGGAGATAGTTGAGAGAGAACATAAGAAAGAGAAGAAAGCATCAGCTAAAGAGTTTGAGGTGAGGGAAGGGAGACAACCCCAGTTGCACGACACACATGGTCATTGTATTGTTCTATGTACATGAAGATCTGGGTTAGAGGTCTTTAACAACCAGTGCTTGTCCCCCATGAAGTTATGGGTTAGAATTGGTCGTCAACAACGCAAGCTTGTCCACCATAAAGATCTAGGTTTGAATTGGTTTTCAACAAGTCATGCTTGTCCCACATGAAGATCTGGGTTAGAATTTGTCTTCAGCAAGCCATGCTTGTCACCCATGAAGATCTGGGTTAGAATTGGTCTTCAACAACCCATGCATGTCTTAAGAGGCGACTAACAGGATCAGGTGGTCAGGCTCACTGAATTGGTTGATGCATGTCATCGTATCCCAATTGCATGGATCGATGCTCATGATGTCAATCACTGGATTGTCTGGTCCCGACTTGATTATTTACAGACCGCTGTAATATAGATGGAATATTGCTGAGTGCGGCGTTAATCAACAATCAAACTAGTTATACTGTAACCTAACTAGAGGATAGGAACCGGTCCACTTGATTTTTGTACTTTTATTAATTTATAATTAAGTTGAACATTCGCCAGTTGCATGGCAACATGGGATACCATTTGTATGACACTATCTCCAAGCAGGATGAATGGGTGCTGTCCATTCATCAGTCTCTCCGTCATGTTTCGTTTCTGAAGCAGAACTAAAAAACCAGGAGAGATATCTCACCAAACTTGGCACATAGATAGATCTAGTGGTGAACTGATGCCTTTTGAATAGTTTGGGATTTTTAAAAAAAATGTTTTTCGGGTTTCCATAGCAATGGCTTTGACTTAGACTAAAAATGGCAGTAGTGCTCGTTTCCCGAGCAAATCATGAAAACCGTACAATATTTCTTGCCTTGCACACAACAGGTCATGTCATATTGGTGGAGGATATGATTTTTTCGTGCTTATTCTCTTGGTATCTGCATGTCTCAGTTTATGACTTGGTCACTATATGCTATAGAAGAGCGGGGCGGTCAGGTAGCCTAGTGGGTAAAAGTTATCTCGTCACGCTGAAGACCCAGGTTCGATTCCCGACATGGGTACATTGTGTGAAGCCCATTTCTGGTGTCCCCCGCCGTGATATTGATGGAATATTGCTAAAAGTGGTGTAGAACCATACTCACTCACTATAAGGGACATCTACGTTCAGAGTAATGACGATATCATTTGTAAGTTTAAAACATACTATCAGGAACTAGGTTAAAGAATTATTTCAGTTTTTAAATAAATGTGCAACAAACAATACTTTATTTTGCCCTAATGGGAACAAATTTCTACTTTTAGAATTAAACCTTTAAATACTTGAACTTAACTGACTTTGGTTATATTGGATGATACATGGATGAAATGATGTGTTTCTCCTCAGGAGAAGAAGATCGAACTGAAGGAAAGTCTAATCATGGATTTGGAGGAGAAGAAGAGAAACGTGGAGTGTGAGAGGGGAACGATGGACATGAACACTAGCAGTGGTACAGGTTCTTACACCTTTGGTATTGCTTCTTAGGGCGTGATTTAGTTATATAATACATGCACGTTGAAAACTACAACTTACATTTATGTCTACGTGCATGTTAAACAAAGAATTTCAAATTGGTGTCTCACCAACCCTTAATTGTCCACACAACATTAATCTTTGAATATACTCAACATGCTCACTATAACTGAGGGGGCACGGGTGGCCCAGTCGTCTAAGGCGCCGCGATTCGCTGTGCAGAGTTGCGTCCCTTGGGCACGCCAGAAACCTATGATTGTGGGTTCGAATCCCGGTTCGCCCCAATTATGTTTCTAGGTTTGTCAGCACCATACCCGTACTCGTGGGTTTCACCGAAGTGGTAAACGTCTGAGACCTGCATCACTTCGGGCTTTCCTCCCACATTAAGCTGACACGCCGTGATATAACTGGAATACTGTTAAAAGCGGCATTAAACCCAACTCACTCACTCACTCATTCACTCACTATAACTGAGATGTATTTACCACCCTACTTCCCTGAGTTATGTGTAATTTGTTGTTTTCTTGGGCGTGATGTCATCTAACTGTGGGTACTTCAAGATTAGGCCGTAAAAGGCGACTATGCTTGTCATAAGAGGCGACTAACGGGATCGGATGGTAAGACTCGCTGACTTGGTTGAAGCATGTCATCGATCCCAAATGGTGGATCGATGCTCATGATATCAATCACTGGATTGTCTGGTACAGTCTCGATTATTTAAAGACCACTGTCATAAAGCTGGAATATTGCTAAGTGCGGCGTTAAACAACAAACTTCAAGATTATGTACTGTACCGTAGTTTCATCTATCTCTGTGTCAGGTTATGACATTAAGGTTATCCAACTAGTGATTATCATTATGCAGTACATGATGGTGCCACATGAATACTGTCATTAATTGTATTAAAACGTTCCTCCCACATCAAGCTGGCATGTTGTGATATACCGTATTCGACGTAATAAGCGCCCCGCTCTAATAAACTATTCGCACGGCGATATTTGCTAATAAATTGGCTTGTGAACAATCCCAATTAGCACCCCTTCCGATTGATCAATGTACACAAGACTTATTTATTCGTGTATAATACGCACTCGTGTGTATATATGCAACCTTAATTATGGGCAATTAAATTCTGGAAAAATATATCTGTCGTATATGAACATTTCTAATAAGAGCCCCCTATTTTTAATTTTGAGAGCGCCCTGGGCGCTTATTTATGTCGAATACGGTAACTGGAATGCTGTTCATAGCAGCGTTAAACCCAACTCATTCACTCCCCTTTAGAAGTCAGGTGCTTCAGAAATTGTCATTGCTCTAATTATGCTAATTCAAACTCACATCTTTGTGGATCATAATGATATGATGAAGTATCCTAGTGGTAGCCTCAAGGCTAAAGGGATTGCTTGTCATGCCAAAGGACCAGGTTCGATAAAACAATTCTCACTGACTCACGCTCAAGTAATGATCATCCTCCCGAGGCAAGAGAGTTAACTGACTTTAAAAGTCCAGTTTCCATCCTTGCCGAGCTAGGCTGGAATTCCTGGGCACGATCGTAGCGCCACCAGTGGCTATTACCAGTTATGTCCCTTTTAAGCCTCTCCTATGGACCAATCAGATTCCACCTCTCTTGTCACTTGCGTTTGCTTCACACAAAATGATGGCGATAATCAAGATCTATATTGTGATAAAACGGGTCTTACATTGCAAAATGCATCAAATCACGTGAGCACCTTGATTAAAACATGAAAAGATTTGGAAAATATCTGCTGACAACGAGTTGGCGGTGCACATGCTTTGCAAATCCTTCATTCGACCGAAATCTGCACGACGTTTACAAACCGGATTTGGATTACGGTGCCCGATTTTGATTGGACTATGCATAGACTCGTTATTCCAGCCAAAATGTAACTCCATAATACCAGCCTAGTTCGGCAAGGGTGGAAACTAGACTTTTATAGTCCGTTAACTCTCTTGTCTTGGGTAAGATGGTAATGATGGAATATAGCAAATATTGGCGTAAAACAATACTCAGTCACTCACTTTTATGTCAACTACAACTGGTGTGGAATATCTCTGCAGGAATGACAGACTTTATGGAAGTGAAGCCGATCATGACAAGGAAACTGCGGAGGAGGCCAAATGACCCGGTGCCACTTCCAGAGAAGCGGAGGAAACCATCGCCTGATATCCTTTGTTGTTTGAATATATGCCAAATATTCTGTGCCAAGACCAAGTATCACCTGGTCATGTTCCCCCAGAATACAGCTGTTTACAGGGGGGTGCCCTTTATACACGCTTTACTCGTAAACATGCTGTCTTGTATCAGTTTTATGGTATGACACGATATCCACATCAAAGCTTTGGAACAAATCTAACAGCATTGGATGGAACTTGGGGGGCACGGGGGGCCCAGTCATCTCAGTTTGCCCAGATTATGTTGTCAGCACCATACCTGTGCTCATGGGTTTCACCAAAGTGGTAAACGTCTGAGACCATCACTTCGGGCTTTCTTCCCACATTAAGCTTACATGCCGCGATATAACTGGAATACTGTTAAAAGCAGCGTTAAACCTCACTCACTCACTCACTCACTCACTCACTCACTCACTCACTCACACGCAAATTGAGTTTGGTATGAGTTCATGTTATGTTTTTGATATCAGATTAATTTGTATCTGAAGCCATGCAACCATCTGCCCCACTGAGCTGATAATTAAAACATAGCCATCCTGCATTGCCAGCACTCTAGAATGAAGACTGATAAAGGCAGGTCAGGTTGGTCATCAGCCTATTTAAGATACATACAGTTGTCAGGGTTACCATGGTTACAAGGGCAATTGATAAAAGCCGCGTGTGCTGGGGAGAATCCCATGATGCAGACTGTAGGAAAGGGTTGTAAACACAGAACATAATGTTCTTTGAGACCTATCGAAAGGTCGACAGTTCTTTCAGTGCCTTCATAAAACAAATTCTAGCAAGTAGCAAAGGTTTTCTAAAATCATTATATGGAACATCAAAACTATGAAACGCGTGATTGTTTGTCAACGATAATGCCCCAATGAGATACACATTACAACAAAATATGAGTCATAAGTCTGATCCCCTTCACTCACCCCTAGAATTTGTGACCAGTCAGTCAGGTTGGCTGCAAATAAAGCAGTTAAAACACCACTTAATGATACTGGATAACTGAACTGCCATTACGTAAACGAAATAGGCACAAACAAATACTGGAAACTACGGTTATAACGAACACGCATTTAAAGAACTGACTGATATAACAAACTTATTTTACAGTCCCGACCATTTGTTGTATAAATGTCGTATATATGCTTATAACGAACTACAGTTATTACAAACTAAAATTAGTGGTCCCTTCGAGTTCATTATAACTGTAGTTTACTGTATGACAAATCACTCCTGACCTAGTTCTAAACACTGACTGAGTATGCATGTCTTCCTTAACTAATCTCACCTCAGCTTAATTTCTTCTTGGACGAACAAGAGATTCAGGATGACCTCCGCATCATCAATAAAGTGAGCGGTAAACCAATCAACAAGAAGCCGGCGCCTGTCCCCACGCCGATAGAAGGCGTGTCCGATGTCAAGATTGATGATGGCAAACTCTACTATGACAAAAGATGGTAGGTGATGAAGCAATGCAGAGGTAGAAATTAACATTTTTAGTTCGCTAGTCCTTATAATGATAATATATTGCAAAACCCTTAAAAATGGCAAATTTCTACTAGTCCTTATGATACCTTAACTATTGGGCAGTTTGGCAAGGACTACAGGAGTAGTGCCAATTTCTAATGCTAAGCAGTTTTTTTGGTGTAGAGTGGCACTTTTTAGAAAAAAAATGGTTGGTTCATGGAAGCCATGGAAACAAAAACAACTAAGTCTTTTTAAGAGTGATTAAATCCACATGATGGGAACACTTTAATAAATCTTAGCTGATAATTGAAGAAAACATGGCTTTTCTGTAGTCGCACTGTAGAGTGAACACTTATTAAGGCTGTTAGTCTTTACTGGGGGCAAATCAGGCAAGTCATTAGCTGATACTGTGACATCGCCAACTAGTCGTGTTAATGGGTGATTGATGAACACAGTGTTCACTTGGGAGAATCCAGTCAGCTTTTTAGGGAAATAGACACTCCCTCATTGAGTTAAATGCAATAGTGCTTCATCATAACAAATTATTTAAACTTCATTGCTGATTTTGCATATTTCCTTTGAATAATGATTGCATGAATTATGACTGATGTACCAATGAATGTAATTGCTATCTGGGATGAATTACCTCCCTTTATTATTGCATTATCAGGGCGGTCGGGTAGCCTAGTGGTTAAAGCGTTCGCTTGTCACGCCAAAGACCTGGGTTTGATTCCCGACATGGGTACAATGTGTGAAGCCCATTTCTGATGTCCCCCGCCGTGATATTGCTGGGATATTGCTAAAAGCGGCGTAAAACCACACTCACTCACTCACTATTGCATTATTTATTTTCCTAAGGGTCAAAAAGCCTTGAGGTTGTTGCAGACAAGTCTGCCCCCATTCTGTCGTATGTGCCGAGATGCTGTCAATGTTGTTGGTGTTCCAGGTTTCACAGGAACCAGCCAGTGTTTGTGGAGTCGAAGGAGGGGGGCAAGGTGTGTGGCGTCATCACAGGAGTCGGCTCACAGGAGGTCAGTACAGGAAATACAGTCTTCAGCGTAATCCTAAATGGATGGAGTGGTCAGGCTTGGTGACTTGGTTGATTGTGTGTCGTACCCTGACAAGTGTGTATCTGATTGTTGTGAGGGGGCAGGGGTGGCCCAGTCGTCTCAGGCGCCATGGTTCGCTGTGCAGAGTTGCGTCCCTTGGAAATGACAGAAACCTATGATTGTGGGTTTGAATCCTGGTTTGCTCAGATTATGTTTCTGGGTTTGTCAGCGCCATACTCGTGCTCGTGGGTTTCACCAAAGTGGTAACCGTCTGAGACCTGCATCACTTCGGCTTTCCTCCCACATTAAGCTGACACGCGCGATATAACTGGAATACTGTTAAAAGCGGCATTAAACCCAACTCACTCACTCACTCACTCACTCACTCACTCACTCACTCACTCACTCACTCACTCACTCACTCACACACTCACTGTAGTATCATTCCTCACAACTCAAGGCAGCCTTTTTTATGTGCATCCCTGTTGGTTTCAGATCTGGGTGCGGAAGACGTCTGACAACACCAAACTCCGTATCTACGTCTCCCAGCTACAGAAAGGCAAATACATCCTCCGTCGTCGCTCCACATGACCTGTGTGAGATGTCATCACCCTGTCATCACTGTCATACATATGACGTCATGCTCATCGCCATTTTACATCATGTTGTCATGGCAACACTCCAGATAACCACTGGGATATTTATACTCTACTGTCTACAGCTCTGTAATTGTTCTACCACTACAAACAGTTATATATGGTGAATCTTTTCGCTGTCAGTCCTATTCTGAATGATCTGCGTAAAGATTTAATAAATAATCTTTTTGACTGACTAAGGGGTGCAAAGTATAATAATAAGCTTGATGTCATGTTCATTGGGATATATTGGCATTAATGCATATTAATAATATCAGTGTCTTGATCCTGAAATGTAAACATCATGTAAAGATGTTAACAGGGACAAAATTCTCAAACATATTTACATTTTTTGATATGTTATTCATGTTAATATTGTTTGTATTTTAGAATAATTATGATGTAGATTACCAGTACATCCCTATGTGGTATAGCATTGTTTTCCCACCGTGTTCCTGATACAGGACTTATATCCTGGCCAGCAGTGGTTGGTCCGATAACAGAGACGTCTGGAGCGTGCATTCAGTCTAACAGATTTCCTGGTTCTGTGACCTTGTTACATTATTATCCAATTCCATGTAGAAATGTTAGTCAACCAATCAGATTGTGGCACACACTCCCATTCATTCACACTGTAGTAGGGGGGCGGTCAGGTAGCCTAGTGGTTAAAGCGTTCGCTCGTCACGCCGAAGACCCGGGTTCGATTCCCGACATGGGTACAATGTGTGAAGCCCATTTCTGGTGTCCCCGTCCGTGATATTGCTGGAATATTGCCTAAAAGCCGCATAAAACCATACTCAATCACTCACTCACACTGTAGTATATCATACGGTTAATCTCAAAGCTTTTGATTCATTTTGCTTCATGAACTGATCAGTGAACTAAAAGCTGGCAACTAAACATAAAACATTTAATATTTTTATTTGTCAGTCCTCGTTTATTCTGTGGCAATTGAAAGATACTGTTAAGAAGTAATCTCTCTTACTGAAGTGAATAACTGTTCTGATAGTTAGTAGTTCGCTCTTAATCAAGTACAGGATGTCATTCTAAGACAATATCACACTCATATCCTAAATAAGAAGAGAAATATTTAAATACTTTTTGTCTTTTCCTTTGCTTCGACGTATCATGTTTATTAGTACAATTAAGTTATCTGAAAGCAAGGTGTTGATGTAATTTTAGTTTCCCGCAGTTATTTTCAGATATTCCAGTGCCTAAAGTTTCTATACAGAGTTACATCCCTTTGGTGTGTCAGGATCTTCTGATCATGGGTTCAAATCCCAGATTATGATCCTTAGTCGTCACCTACCTATGCTTTAAGATACATCTATTCACTGGAGTGTCATAACACATCCACAGCCACCAGCCATGTTAAAAGGGAGACTACTCCGTGCTCTGAGGCCCTTGTACAATACAGTGGTGTGAAATTGAAACATTTTGTGTGGTAGGGTACTAATTAACTGTTACAGTGATAGATATCATAACATATGAGTTAACAGACAAAGAAAGAGGTGTGTGCTCATAGTCTTCACCAAGGGGATGGGGGCACGGGTGGCCCAGTCGTCAAATGGTAAATGTCTATGACCTGCATCACTTTGGGCTTTCCTCCCACATTAAGCTGGCACGCCGTGATATGACTGGAATACTGTAAAAAGCGGTGTAAAACACAACTCACTCACTTACCAAGGTGATAACTATTGATGACTGCATGTCTTTGGACTTTCCTCCCACTTTAGGATAATATCATGCAGAGTGATATATCTCAAATGCTGTTCATTATTGATATCAATTTGTTATGAAATACAGGGACTAACTTATAAATTTATCATTCAGTATACAATTATTAAGGCCAAATATTAAATTGTGTGTCCTTTCGGATTGGCTTGCTCAGTGTGGCTTAAGCTGGAAAGAACAAGAAAAAATGTTGTTAGATTTCCTGAAATCTCTTTGAAATAATAGTTTCAACAAGAATAAAAGAATGTTTTCATCAACTCCAGCATTTTAAATCATTCTTGTCTACTATTGCAAATTCATCATTTTTGTCGTCATGGTGACCGCTAGTCAATATGCATTTAGTAGTGTCATTTTTCAGGAATCAGGAATGCTCAGATAACCTTTTTCACAAGATTATGCTCCTTGCTCTACTGGGTAATGTGGTCCACCCTGATTATGATCCTTGCTCTACTGGGTATTGTGGTCCACCCTGATTATGATCCTTGGTCATGGGGGTATTGTGATCCACCCTGATTATGATCCTTGCTCTACTGGGTAATGTGATCCACCCTGATTATGATCCTTGGTCATGGGGGTATTGTGATCCACCCTGATTATGATCCTTGGTCTACGGGGTAATGTGATCCACCCTGATTATGATCCTTGGTCTGACAGGGCAGTGTGGTCCACCCTGATTATGATCCTTGGTCTAACAGGTAATTTGATCCACCCTGATAATGACCGTTGATCTACGGGGTAATGTGATCCACCCTGATTATGATCCTTGGTCTGACAGGTAATGTGATCCACCTGGATCAAGACCATGATGTATGATCAAAGTGGTAAACATCTACGACCTTTGTTGCATTGAATCTCCCTCCACATCACAAAGTGTTGACAATACCATGTATATTAGAGATTTTTTGATAGGATTCATATTGAGTCAGTTCTTCAATTTCATCATATATTGATGTTGTTTTGAAATAGCATGAAGTTGAACAGTTGTCATCAAAGACTTTTTGTTATCCTTTGTAATATCAAAATGACTCAATTTTACCCACATTTCATCCTCACCAATATTGTACCGAGACTTTGGCATTCTGCCCTGTTTTGTCTGGTACACAGTGTGACTACCCGTTGTGTTATACAATGTATACCCCTGGTACACAGTGTGACTACCTGTTGTGTTATACAATGTATACCCCTGGCACACAGTGTGACTAACCGTTGTGTTATACAATGTATACCCCTGGTACACAGTGTGACTACCCGTTGTGTTCTACAATGTATACCCCTGGTACACAGTGTGACTACCTGTTGTGTTATACAATGTATACCCCTGGTACACAGTGTGACTACCCGTTGTGTTATACAATGTATACCCCTGGTACACAGTGTGACTACCCGTTGTGTTATACAATGTATACCCCTGGTACACAGTGTGACTACCCGTTGTGTTATACAATGTATACCCCTGGTACACAGTGTGACTACCCGTTGTGTTATACAATGTATACCCCTGGTACACAGTGTGACTACCCGTTGTGTTATACAATGTATACCCAGCCTGAAGTCCAACACTGCACTTCATTCCAGAATCTTGCATTGAGTCCACCAACTGCACAGAGCTTTGAGGCCCTTGTATTGACACTCAAGTTGTTAATGATCAAAGTAGTTGTAGAATTTAATTGTAAAAGACCTAATAAAGTCTATATTAGAAATTTCATGAATGTTGTCTTTTTCAAGTGTTCGCTGTGACAATTAGTTGTTGTGGAACTGAAACATTGTCCTGCATAGTCAACCCTTGTGTTACTGAAACATTCCACACACTGCCAACCTTTGTTACTGAAACATTCCACCCGCTGCCAACCTGTTACTGAAACATTCCACACACTGCCAACCTTTGTTACTGAAACATTCCTCACACTGCCAACCTTTGTTACTGAAACATTCCACACACTGCCAACCTTTGTTACTGAAACATTCCACACACTGTCGACCTTTGTTACTGAAACATTCCACACACTGCCAACCCTTGTGTCACTGAAACATTCTATACACTGTCAACCTTTGTTACTGAAACATTCCTCACACTGCCAACCTTACTGAAACATTCCACACTGTCAACCCTTGTTACTGAAACATTCTATACACTGTCAACCTTTGTTACTGAAACATTCCACACACTGCCAACCTTACTGAAACATTCCACACTGTCAACCCTTGTTACTGAAACATTCTATACACTGTCAACCTTTGTTACTGAAACATTCCACACACTGCCAACCTTACTGAAACATTCCACACTGTCAACCCTTGTTACTGAAACATTCTATACACTGTCAACCTTTGTTACTGAAACATTCCACACACTGGCAACCTTTATGTTAGTGAAACATCTTCATACACTGTAATCACCTGTGTGACTGAAACATACATACAAACTGTCATACACTGCTAACCTTTGTGTTAGTGAAACATTGTCATACACTGTAATCACCTGTGTGACTGAAACATACATACAAACTGTCATACACTGCTAACCTTTGTGTTAGTGAAACATTGTCATACACTGTAATCACCTGTGTGACTGAAACATACATACAAACTGTCATACACTGCTAACCTTTGTGTTAGTGAAACATTGTCATACACTGTAATCACCTGTGTGACTGAAACATACATACAAACTGTCATACACTGCTAACCTTTGTGTTAGTGAAACATTGTCATACACTGTAATCACCTGTGTGACTGAAACATACATACAAACTGTCATACACTGCTAACCTTTGTGTTAGTGAAACATTGTCATACACTGTAATCACCTGTGTGACTGAAACATACATACAAACTGTCATACACTGCTAACCTTTGTGTTAGTGAAACATTGTCATACACTGTAATCACCTGTGTAACTGAAACATACATACAAACTGTCATACACTGCTAACCTTTGTGTTAGTGAAACATTGTCATACACTGTAATCACCTGTGTGACTGAAACATACATACAAACTGTCATACACTGCTAACCTTTGTGTTAGTGAAACATTGTCATACACTGTAATCACCTGTGTGACTGAAACATACATACAAACTGTCATACACTGCTAACCTTTGTGTTAGTGAAACATTGTCATACACTGTAATCACCTGTGTAACTGAAACATACATACAAACTGTCATACACTGCTAACCTTTGTGTTAGTGAAACATTGTCATACACTGTAATCACCTGTGTGACTGAAACATACATACAAACTGTCATACACTGCTAACCTTTGTGTTAGTGAAACATTGTCATACACTGTAATCACCTGTGTGACTGAAACATACATACAAACTGTCATACACTGCTAACCTTTGTGTTAGTGAAACATTGTCATACACTGTAATCACCTGTGTGACTGAAACATACATACAAACTGTCATACACTGCTAACCTTTGTGTTAGTGAAACATTGTCATACACTGTAATCACCTGTGTGACTGAAACATACATACAAACTGTCATACACTGCTAACCTTTGTGTTAGTGAAACATTGTCATACACTGTAATCACCTGTGTGACTGAAACATACATACAAACTGTCATACACTGCTAACCTTTGTGTTAGTGAAACATTGTCATACACTGTAATCACCTGTGTGACTGAAACATACATACAAACTGTCATACACTGCTAACCTTTGTGTTAGTGAAACATTGTCATACACTGTAATCACCTGTGTGACTGAAACATACATACAAACTGTCATACACTGCTAACCTTTGTGTTAGTGAAACATTGTCATACACTGTAATCACCTGTGTAACTGAAACATACATACAAACTGTCATACACTGCTAACCTTTGTGTTAGTGAAACATTGTCATACACTGTAATCACCTGTGTGACTGAAACATACATACAAACTGTCATACACTGCTAACCTTTGTGTTAGTGAAACATTGTCATACACTGTAATCACCTGTGTAACTGAAACATACATACAAACTGTCATACACTGCTAACCTTTGTGTTAGTGAAACATTGTCATACACTGTAATCACCTGTGTGACTGAAACATACATACAAACTGTCATACACTGCTAACCTTTGTGTTAGTGAAACATTGTCATACACTGTAATCACCTGTGTGACTGAAACATACATACAAACTGTCATACACTGCTAACCTTTGTGTTAGTGAAACATTGTCATACACTGTAATCACCTGTGTGACTGAAACATACATACAAACTGTCATACACTGCTAACCTTTGTGTTAGTGAAACATTGTCATACACTGTAATCACCTGTGTGACTGAAACATACATACAAACTGTCATACACTGCTAACCTTTGTGTTAGTGAAACATTGTCATACACTGTAATCACCTGTGTGACTGAAACATACATACAAACTGTCATACACTGCTAACCTTTGTGTTAGTGAAACATTGTCATACACTGTAATCACCTGTGTGACTGAAACATACATACAAACTGTCATACACTGCTAACCTTTGTGTTAGTGAAACATTGTCATACACTGTAATCACCTGTGTGACTGAAACATACATACAAACTGTCATACACTGCTAACCTTTGTGTTAGTGAAACATTGTCATACACTGTAATCACCTGTGTGACTGAAACATACATACAAACTGTCATACACTGCTAACCTTTGTGTTAGTGAAACATTGTCATACACTGTAATCACCTGTGTGACTGAAACATACATACAAACTGTCATACACTGCTAACCTTTGTGTTAGTGAAACATTGTCATACACTGTAATCACCTGTGTGACTGAAACATACATACAAACTGTCATACACTGCTAACCTTTGTGTTAGTGAAACATTGTCATACACTGTAATCACCTGTGTGACTGAAACATACATACAAACTGTCATACACTGCTAACCTTTGTGTTAGTGAAACATTGTCATACACTGTAATCACCTGTGTAACTGAAACATACATACAAACTGTCATACACTGCTAACCTTTGTGTTAGTGAAACATTGTCATACACTGTAATCACCTGTGTGACTGAAACATACATACAAACTGTCATACACTGCTAACCTTTGTGTTAGTGAAACATTGTCATACACTGTAATCACCTGTGTGACTGAAACATACATACAAACTGTCATACACTGCTAACCTTTGTGTTAGTGAAACATTGTCATACACTGTAATCACCTGTGTGACTGAAACATACATACAAACTGTCATACACTGCTAACCTTTGTGTTAGTGAAACATTGTCATACACTGTAATCACCTGTGTAACTGAAACATACATACAAACTGTCATACACTGCTAACCTTTGTGTTAGTGAAACATTGTCATACACTGTAATCACCTGTGTGACTGAAACATACATACAAACTGTCATACACTGCTAACCTTTGTGTTAGTGAAACATTGTCATACACTGTAATCACCTGTGTGACTGAAACATACATACAAACTGTCATACACTGCTAACCTTTATGTTAGTGAAACATCTTCATACACTGTAATCACCTGTGTGACTGAAACATACATACAAACTGTCATACACTGCTAACCTTTATGTTAGTGAAACATTGTCATACACTGTAATCACCTGTGTGACTGAAACATACATACAAACTGTCATACACTGCTAACCTTTGTGTTAGTGAAACATTGTCATACACTGTAATCACCTGTGTGACTGAAACATACATACAGACTGTCATACACTGCTAACCTTTGTGTTAGTGAAACATTGTCATACACTGTAATCACCTGTGTGACTGAAACATACATACAGACTGTCATACACTGCTAACCTTTGTGTTAGTGAAACATTGTCATACACTGTAATCACCTGTGTGACTGAAACATACATACAAACTGTCATACACTGCTAACCTTTGTGTTAGTGAAACATTGTCATACACTGTAATCACCTGTGTGACTGAAACATACATACAAACTGTCATACACTGCTAACCTTTGTGTTAGTGAAACATTGTCATACACTGTAATCACCTGTGTGACTGAAACATACATACAAACTGTCATACACTGCTAACCTTTGTTACAGAAGACAGCCTCCGTGGACTAGTGGTAGAGCGCAACGTCGGTGGATTCGATCCCCGGCCGCGTCATACCAAAACACGTTCAAAGATGGTACTTATTACCTGCCTGGCGCTCGGGATAAAACAAGGCCTGTTGGGCTCGGGGTCAGTATATTGTGTCTGAGTGGGGTATCTATGTTAAACAGCGGCATGGGCTAGCACAATAAAATGGGCATTAGTACAAGCAGCCAAACACACACACACACACACACACACACACACACACACACACACACACACACACACACACACACCGGTAGATGCACGTCGCTATATAATACCAGTAATCTTGGACACGACGTTAAACCCCATTTCACATCACCTATGTTACTGAAACACTGTCCCACCCTTTCAAACTTTGAAGTTCATGGCGGAAGTAGACTCGCTTAGATATGGTCTAACATGATATGTTCCTTAGTACTCGTCTTACACTAGGTCACCTTTTGAAAGAGTCCTATGACCTTTGGCCGTTCTTATCATTCCAGACTTGTCTCTTTGTACATGGCACTGTTTGAGAAAGTATTCATGAATTCGGTCAAGCACGTGTCCAAAAACGAGCGCACAAGTTCGTTTGGGGTTCCAGCGAACAAACGAGACACTTATCACCAT